AATTCAATTACCTGATCAGTCACGCGCCTAGACCAATCGGTCAGTGAGTACTCCCTTAAAAGGTAATGCAATTTGCATGTACAGTACGTGCTATATTCTTCCGAACAAAAAGTTCGACCAGATAAGGGCAATATCTGCAACCGGGCCAGCCAATCAGTTGTATGAAACTACTTATTAAGTACGATACTCATTTCGTAGTTAATGACGCGATTATTATTGGTTAACCTTTGCACTAACTACATTTTATACAACCTGCCCCATAGTGAAAACCATACTACGCAATCAGATTTGCATCACTGATTAGGCCTATATAACTTGACTTTGATATGGTTTCCACATTTCAATATTTGGCGCAGATACTGTACATGTAGGCTTAACGTACCTATTTTTCCCTGAGAAATAAAGACGACATCGATCGATTCAAGACTTCATTGAGAGATCCCTGACAACTGTGGGCAATTTCCACAACGATTGATTTATTTGAGATAGCATTGTTAGATATGTATATATATATATAATTCAATACATACAGTCTTATAATGCTCACTCAAATAACCATTCACTGCACAATACTGTACGTTCATTCATTTTCAAACTCCATCTGGATACATGACTCGTGAAAATTATTGATACTTGATTTATTTGAGATTAGCATTGTCTGATATGTATACTAGCTGTAAATATCATTCAATACATGTCTTTAATGTTCACTCAAATAACCATTATCAATACACAATATGGTTTCATTCTCTATCTGGATACATGGCTCATGAAAATTATTGACACTCACATAGGCTTATGGAAGATACCAATTCACTCTTTCTAAAATTGAAATCTGAATTACAAATTACAGCATATACTGTATCAATCCGGCAAGATAACAGATATGGCCATGAACATTTGTGTCAGACTTATACTTATCAACGATGTTATAAATTTAAATCTACGCAAGGAAGATGAGGACTTTATCTGGAAAAGCGATTTAACTTCACACTGTAGGTAGCGATTTCAAACTGGTAGGAATATGGTCGCCCCTTAATCCTGAAACAAAGCTATTATTCTCAGTTGAAACTTTGCTTTGAGATGATATTGAGATGATATTCCCTTCAGGAAGAGAGAATGCATGGAATTACGGAGGACAACGAATCCACGAGGTTAAAGTATCTTCACGGGAAAAAAAGGTGGTAGGATATAAAATATTTATGAATGCGCAATAGAGACTATATAGCGCTGCTTATGTTTCCAGGGATCCAGCGTTACCAAGTTCATAATCATTTGGAGCTACGTACAACATTGTAAATCCATACCAGTATGTTTTGTAACTAGTGAAGACTCTTATGAAAACCGAACAACAAAACAAATTGGAGTAGAGGACAAGAACGTTGAAGGAACAGAACGTAATTGCGACTATCAGTTGTAAGCTGTTTAACGGTGCAAATTCAAAAGAATCAAAACGACCACAAAAGAGTCGTTCTGGGATCAAATTAATAAGAATTAAAAATGAAGGACGCAAGAGCTGTGGACAATAGCGGACCATGAAAGAAAAAGAAAATCTAATAAAAGATAAATAAAAGAAAAGTTGACAGGGTGGGTTAGGTAAAAGGGCCCACAGTAATTGGCATATGCTGTTGTGGTGACCCTGTCCTAGTTGGCAAAGCTAAATAAATCAATAAATAGAAAGGAAAAGTGAGTAAGAAAGAAAAAAGAAACTACACCGCTGTAGATTAGTAAGCGGGATTAGAAAGAGGAAAAACAGCATCAGCAAATACAAAGAGGTTAAGCCCGACGCCATGTCAGTAAACTGTGAGTCCATTAATTATTGAAAGACGATTGTGTTTGGTTTCGGCAACACAAAACTCTGGGAGCGTTCGGGCATGCTCCGCCCGAGAATTCGAAAGTCTCTTGTAATGACATGCCCTGTCGATAATTTACGGAAAGCATTTTTCGATTCTTGGAGGAAATGGTAGCAAGCTTAAAAGGGCACAGCATGGAACGTCCATTGTAAAAACACATGTAAAAACCGAAAACAACTCAATCATTTCTTAAGAGGGAGAAATAAAATACCAAGAGAGGAAAGCAAAAAAAAGATAGATGCAAGAGGTGATTGAGTGACTAAGTTGTATTTTGTGATCAATGTAAAATTTTAGTGAGGGGGAATTAATGGAAGATAGTGTGTGTCTGTGTCTGTTAAAGACCAACAGGGTGTGAACAGGGGCATTAATATCAAGGTGATGTAAAGTCCGTTCTGCGCATACGTTCTGCGCAGGCCTACATTCCAATGGTCGGGACCCGACCATTGGAATGTTGTTAGTTGAATCTCTAGTCTATATTAATTTACAAGCATAGCGAATCAGAAGAGTGTTAAAAATTCAGTATAATATATATCTAATCATATTTTACAACTGTAGTACTGAGTTCAAAATGTAAACAAAGCGTTTGTTTACATTACGGACTTTATATCACCTTTAATATGGCCAGTATGAGTACTTATGTAAAACAATTTTATTATAGTTATTATACTATAACTGCACCATCAGTAATGTCAATATGTCTGCTGTTATGTAGCTGTGGGCATTATTGATGCCAGACACTGCTTTAGAAAATCGGATTACATCACAATGGGGAGAAATTGGTTTTCAAGGAAAAAATCCGGAGACTGACTTCAGAGGAATGGGTATGATTGTCTTTTCTTTATTCCCCTTTATTCTGGTTGTATTAGCCTTCAATTTGTTGAATTGTAATTTTTCTTGTGAACTTTTGATTGGGTGATATATTTAGTACATGTTTTTACTCATTGTTGAATATTATTTGTTTGCGATGATACAGATATGCATGCATGCATGTACAAATATAATTAGTACACAACATTAGTCAGACACAATGATGTATACGTTAAAATTATAAACTCTTTGTAATATTTTAGGAATTCTTGGATTGGAAAATCTTCTGTAAGTGAAACAAGCTGTGTTTAAACTGTTGATGTTTTCTGATAAATAATTTGTGTTTAGACATCTCTCAATTTTTGATAAATATATCTTGATTACTTTGGTACAGTAGTAGTCCACATTATTTGTCTGTAGCCGTATATGTTAAAGCGCATGCGCCAATGTGCGGGACGCCTATATGTGGGATAATACACCCTTACGAAAAGTAGAGTACGTCACTTTAGCTATAGAGCCTCGTTTTCATGTATATGACATAAATCAAAGTTCAATGTCCCAATCGCGAAAAAGAGGACCTATAGCCAAGGTGACTTTCCGGAAGGTTTATTATCCTTTCTCACGCCATGCGACCTGGCCTTGCCGTCAATTTTGGGTGGAAGTAGCTTGATATGTAGCCGACTACGTTTTGATATTTTTGTTCACTTTAGCATTATTCTCGTTTTTATTCTTTAGATATTTTGCAAAGAATCGAAATGATGTAGCTAGAAAAGTATTATCTGAATCACACCATCCAACGTATTGGTAAGAAAAATACTGTATTTTAGTATCAGTGAAGATCTGGTAACACAATCGTCGTACAGTTTGTTGTGCAATCCATACTGCACCCGAAGGACGTAACTATTCCAGCTATCGAATGGAAGTTAGTGTCCCAGAAGTAGTGTTTTTGGAGCCGATCGGCCCTCTTTTTTGAGGGTGCCTAACTGCCTATGATGCTGAGGGTGCGTGAAGATGTTGAACGTGCGTTTATTGGGGTGGTGTAGTTAGGGTGGAAGGGTGGAGTTGGGTGGATTAAGGGATCATTGGGATCGCACCAGTGTTCAGATAAATGAGGGGATCTCGAAAGGGGTTTTGAAGTGGATTATGTGAATGCGAAAATGTATCCATTTTGGAAGCAAAACATGGAAACGAGACAGTGTGGGACAGACTGTTTCGGTGAGTATGGACATATATTATGTCGAACATGCTAAGGCGTGTTTGTGATATAGCGACAAAGTACTTCGGGAACACTAGGGCCTTGGTAGGCTAATTTGGATAAAGCTTTGGCAATGAGAACTGAGCGGGTGGATTAAGATTAAAAACATTTGTTTGATTTCACTGGTTTTGTGTAGATAATAAAAACTAATTTGATGAGGGGCGAACCATTAGAAAACTGATGGGGGAGGGGGGATTTTCAGCTTGCACAGCGTTCGCTACGCACACTTGCGCTCCCTTGCACACCCTCGGTACCCTAACGCACCCTCAACACCCTTTACATGTACGTACCCTGATGACTCTTGCGCACCCTCACCGTCCTTACGTGCCCTTACGCACTCTCGACACCCTTACACACCTTCAGCATCCTTACGCATCCTCGGCACCATTTAAATAAACTGTTTGTTGTGCAATTCCGATTATTCTTCATGAATATGTTACGTTTCCTATATTTTTCAGGTACTCATTTGCTATAGTTGGCATAAACCTCACTGCTTTGTCGTGGGAATTGTTAAAATCTGGAATTTACAAACCTCACTTCTACAACATCGCAACACAAAAACCTACACTTGATGATTTCCACAAAGTTTACTGTGAGTAATGCTTGTTCTATTGTAAGGTAACCCTAGTTTCCATTTCGTTGTAAACTGTCGTGACCAAGTCGTGTTCGACGATGTGAAATAGTCTGCATTTATACCATATCTCAAATTTGGAACCAACTAGAGATATTTGCCTAATCGACAAACCTTCGGTTGGTAGGGATGCAGCTATCTAAAAAACACAAGGAGAAATTGAACGTTTCGAGCGAAGACTCTTCGTCGGGAAGTTAGTAGCCTTTCTCGACGAAAGGCCTTCGCTCGAAACCTCGAATTTCTCCTTGTATTTTCCAGGTAGTTGCATCCCTATCAACCAAAGTTTTGTTATTATTGGCGCTACCTACACTGGATCGTTCAAGATTTGCTTAATCGGTTCTTTCGTTTCCAAATTAAGGAGATGAGATGCTTCTCATGCTGTCAATGTAACAGATCTTTGTAGCATCATTGACATGAACATTGAACCTTTCTTTTTACACACATCTCCTAATTGTAATTGTAATTGTAATTGTAATTGTAATGGTTATTCATTTTAATGTGGTAACTAATATTTGTGTTATATCATTATTACCTCTATTTGTGATGATGCTCTTTGAGTGTGTCTATATACCGGGCAATCTGAACATTTTGCTTGATCGCGGTGGGAATGGAACTCACGATTTTTGGTTTTGTTAGTCCAGTGGACCAATGCTCCCTAACTGAACTACGAGGTCAAGTCGGTTCAAGTGGGTGATATTTCGGAACTCAGTCAATCATGGTGTTATGCATCATTACAAATAACAAATATATCTTCACCCGAGTACATAAGACCATAATTCTTACATTCATGGTTATAAAAACACGTACTGATATCGAAGAAACTAGACTGAATTTCGAAATATCACCCACTCGAACCGACGTGACCCAGTAACTCAAAGGTCGCGAGTTCGATTCCCACCGCAGTCAAGCAAATTTTCAGCGTGCCCGGTGCAGGCACATTCAGAGTGTCATCACAATACTGTATACCTGAATACAAAACACCATAATTGTTACATTCATCAATACTATTTTCGAGTATTTATAACATGAGCATTGGGCAACCATTCCCTACGTTTATCGACTTTAAATAAATCGTTGTGTTGTGTTGTGTTGTGTTGTGTTGTGTTGTGTTGTGTTGTGTTGTGTTGTGTTGTGTTGTGTTGTGTTGTCAGCATCTTTCTTGTGTTTAGAGTGCTGTATGCAAATCAGTTTTTTTCTGATTAAAGAGCTAGGTACTTTAATTGCATCGGCCACCTTGATAGGTTCACGACGATTACAATTAATGAAAGCAGACTTTACTAGTTCGCCAACAGGCGCAATAGATACTTGATACCGTAGAATGTGACGTCTCTTCCGAACGTTTGAAATATTTCAACAATTTTTCCGGAATAAGTGATAATAAGTTTAAACCATGTTTATCCTGCACCATTCAGGCATTAATGGCTTTATTTTCTTAATTATATTAAATTACCTTGTATGTTTAATTTGGCAACTTTTTCTTTTCAACCAATTTAATTAAATGACCCCCAAAAATTAACAGCCTCGATAAGCTGCTAATTCCGGGCGTAACGAGCCAGGTATTTCTACAATTCCACGGTATAGTTGATTCAACTGTGATATTATGAACCAACTTTTCCATGGTTTAATTTTTATGAATGGAGGCAGAGGGGACAAGGAGTGAAACCTCCAAAGTAGCGACTCCCCACAGGCGGGTCGTTAACTGGTGGTTAACATTTGTTATTCATTTCATAGGTTGCTTGTTCCGTGAATTTAGTTCGTTCTGGTTGGAACAGAAGCCGGCTTCTGTTATGGAATTTAACCGAATTAGAGAAGAATTTCGTGAGAATATTATTTGCACTCTTCAAAATCCAGCTGCAGTTTTAGCCGTAGATGATCCGTGCGCCAAAACTGATATAGGCAGCACCTCGGTTCAATCCTTCACATCTCAGGATTTTGATTGACATATTAAATAATAATATATTAATAAGGTATGTAAATCCTAGGTTTTGTCCAACCAGTTCCTATTTTCTGTCGATATATTGCGAGGAACTGGCGCCAAGAAAGAGCAATCTCGAGCGTTTTGTTCCTGCCGTTGGTCATATCCTCATACTTTGCGCATTTAGGTATGTGATTGATGTGAAGACTGTGTCCTCCGCAGAGACGTTTATTGAGGATTCTAGTTTAACACGCGGGCTGTATACCTTGAAAATATAAGGCATTCGGGAAATTGATGAACGCGCGCGGCAGCATAGTCTCTTATTTTCTGAGATGTGTATGATGATACAGCCGGCATCCTTGATTCCGTGATGTTATGCTAACTCTAATCCCTCTGAGCATTTGGGAGAGTAAGTACACATCCCGCGTCCATTCACAGATTACCCGCATGCCTAACAATTCACGGGTATATAGCCCGCATGTTTAACTAAAAACGTCGTCGGGGGAGAGAGGGGAAGAGAAATGCATGCGCGAAACAGGATATTAGCCAATCGTGTATTTATCGAGTCGTCATTTATCGAGTCGTACAGTATATTTATCGAGTTTGCAAAAGGGAAGCAAACTGGCTTCGTGGGGAAGAACATACTATATTATTCATATGTGACACGATGATTTTTATAATTAAAAACTTGTAAACATATGTCAGGTTTGGAAATTTTACATATTCAGTAGCATAATTTTCCCGCCTTTTCAGTGGAAGCATTTTTATATGACTAACCTCTTTGTTTTTTATCAATTCTTTGTATTTTTGTACTAATGTGGCCCAAATTGGGATTCACCTTCCCCGTGCCGGTTTTTATCTATGTAGCCTCCCCCTGGGGACTTCTGGACTGGGGGATTAGTCAAAGGTGGGGGGGAGGGGGGTTAAACAGAGGCTGGGTGCTTCTTGCATTCTTTGACTAATTTGCATGTAATACACAAAATACGAGTCGAAATGTCCAGATTGTTTCGAACCAGACAGCTGGTACCAGGCTTTAACCAGGCTTTATGAATGATCTTCCAGCTAAAGTGAATCCGGACAGCCATCGATTTCACTTTAATGTCACGTACTACAAAGAAGTATTGGGAGTCCTAAAGTCAATCAGCGCCTCGAACTAGCCGCTGGTCTGGATAATATCCCTCCTAAGCTGGTCAAAGATGCTGCAGAATAGACCGCGAGCAGTCCCTCGGGAGAAAGGAGGGACTGCCGACAACACGTCAAGAAACGAAATACGCGTTGCCCGCGCAACGCAAAATTCCCATCAACGTGCCTGTCAATCAAATCTGATATGTAGTAATTATGCTATAAATAATTTCCAGAATATACATGACATTAACGGTTCCTGTTGGATAGATTTAATTGGATATAAGTAATGTTTATGCAAAGGCGGAGCCAACTTGACAAGAGCGAAAAGTGGGCGTATTTCGTTTCTTGATGTGTTGTCGTCCCTCCTTTCCCTCCCACGCCCGGGAAGTTAGGTTCCCGTGGAAAGGAGGGACCGCTCGCAGTCTAGCTGCAGAGGAGCTTGCCACACCATTTTAAAACACCCTTGTAAACCGTAGCCTGACGTGTGGACTTTTTCCAACCGCTGAAAAAGCTGCCAAGATATCACCAATTTATAAGTCCGAAGATAAAACGGCTCTTGACAACTTGACCCATTTCAGTACTACCAGTGTTTTCGAAAGTACTGGAAAGAATCGTCTATAATCGCTTGTCATACTACCTCGAGGAAAACAAACTTCTTAATGATTCCCAGTATGGATTTCGTCAAAAGCGATCAACCAAGCATGCCGTGACAATCCTCATGGTCGACGTCAGAACAAGTATGGACAACCAACAGCTGACAGGGGCAGTTTTACCACGCACGTCTCCTCAACAAACTACCTTCATATGGCATTAATGACGCTGAGCCAATGTGTGTATCAAGTCATTTGCTTGCTCGAACTCAGGTTGTAAGCTTCGAAGGGACGTTATCAGACGAAAATTACATCACTCACGGAGTACCCCAAGGTTTCATCCTTGGCCCTCTTCTGTTCGCGCTACTAATTAATTAAATATGCAGTGTTTTGTTTTGCTTATATCTACAAATTTCGATCGCACTGACGCAACGGACTTAGTAGGTGGTTTTCCACCAACATTGATCCAGAATTGTGCTCTTTATTCTTTGCGGTTCGGAATTGATCTATTTCAACGTCTCAAAATAATTTGTCATGTGGTGCTACATATGTTTCCCTTTTGTTAAACAACAAAGGGCAGTCGAGGGGGGAGATTTTAGTTGGTAAGCCCAAAATTAAAGAAAAGTCTTTTCGGGTTTAGTAGGGTTCAGAACGTTTAATTCGTTCGCTACCCAAAATCTATCTGGAGCCAATATTGTGGCAGTGCGTACCTACATAATATGACGACGTTCTGAAGCAGAAGTGATCGGTGTTTGTGACTCGTTCTTTATAAAGATAATTGCTTATTGACTTTTATTGAAATTTCCAATCACAAGGGCTGTTCATCAGTATAGGTACGCGGAGACTCGCTTTGTGTAGCAGCTATTCTAACTGCCATTAATGCAGTTAAAACTAATATCTCCTTTGTTACTAAGCTGTGGGAAATGTTACGCACGAGTGCTCCGGAAGTAAACATAACAGAGAATCTGTTTTGCAGCACAGCAAGTGTTATACGTTGCACTAGGACTGATCCCTTTATTCAAGATTATCTTGGCTGAACTGACTGCCAAACTAAATTTAACCAGCAACTGCATTTGGTTTTATGTCCATCACATTTCACTCCCACGCTGATGGGATATGAGGTGTGATATGTAATACAGCACGGTAGGTGTATACCACGTCTTCACAACAATTGAGGTAGATGCTATTCATCATATCTGAAGAATATTGTTATCTGAAGAGTTTTGCTGTTATATAGAATGGCCGATGAACGTAGTGCTTTAATCCCATGAGGTATGGAAACAGTTGCCAGGTGTTTTCATGAATATGTCGTGCTCGCTTCCATCGTAATCACTTGATATTACGCCTTAATTCTTAAATAAAGGCGATGCTTATTGTGAAACACATGCAGTGTGATTGATCAGGGAATGGCAAGCAAACACCGAAGAATACTTTGTTTTTTATTTATCACCGCTACTGGGATTTACATTCTCTACAACTGGACATATGGAATAAACGCCACAAGCCCTTACATGAGAAGTTCTTCAAGTTCGTTTGTAACGCGTGCCAATATGACTGTGGGAAATTTGTCAAAGCTTTTAACCAAAACAACATTTATACGCATAAAAGAAACTTTTTCCAAGATTAATAAAGAATTTCGCCGTCAAAAGAAGCAAATGTTAGCGAAAAGTGTTAGTTCGTTGGAAAGTACACAAGAGTTGTATCTATCTTGCCCTTCAGACCTGTTTTTGCTAATTTTGGTTCCAAGCCGACCAAATTCTGTACTCAATCGTATTGCCATGCGAGTAAGTTGGGCTCGAAATTTTAAGCCATCGAAAGAAGGAAACTTGAGTGGTAGTTTTATTTATCAGGTAGTTTTTGTAATAACGGAGCACTCGGCAAAAAATGGCAATTTAATAAATGAGTCAAAAAAATTTAGTGATATCTTACGAGTGGATCACGACAGTAGAAATCTGACAGTAATACCCGCTATTTACCGTCTTCTTTCACGGAAATGTAAACCAAAATTTCTTTTAGTGCTGGATAGTGATAATACTTATGTTAATGTCGCCGAGGTTTTGTCATGGTTATCAAAACTCAATCCAAAAGTAAAATATGCAGGAAGTGTTAGACAGAGTTTGGCTGCGGAAAATCTATCAAACACATCAAACAATGCTCAAAACTTCATACCATACTGTGTCGGAGGAGTGTACGTACTAGCTGGAAAAATACTGAAGAGAATCCTGTATACTAGCAAGGTCATTCCTCCGTCGAAGTACGGTACAAATGAAGCTATGTATGTAGGAACATTGACAAATTATATCGGAATTAAACCTTACAATGACGATAGATTTTCATCACATCCGTTTGAAGATTTAAATATTCGTGATATTGATCCATGTACAGTGAAGAAAGAAGTCTTTGTTCATCACGTGTTTCGTCTACGGCATATATTATTATATACTAAGATGATTGTTGTAGGAGAACAACCATGTGTTTCTAATTATGAGAGTTGATCAGGAACTGTGCAATTTTGTGACTGCAAAGCGGGGCTGGTCTTGAGATGTCTGAGATGACATAAGTTTTTAACTTTGAAGCCTCTTGTAGAGGGATTTGTGGCAGTGGCGTAACGCAACCGCTGGGGGCCCTCCGTCAATCGGCCACTTTGGGCCCCTTTGCTCCACTAAAAATAGGCTCCAAAAATTTTTCTCGGAACAATTTATTTTTGGCGACCTCCCACCCCCCCTCCCCCCACGTCGCCAAAAAATTTTCGGACATTGTACCATTTTAGGGGTCCAAAATTTTTTCCGGACATACCCAATGAAATTGCAATTAATTCATTCTAGTATCTCGTCCTTAACCTCATCCGCGACGTACTTAATCCGTCGCAGCTTCGGGAAAGTTCTCGACGGATTTTGCCTTTTCCAGAGAATGGGTTTTTTTTATTCAATTCAATTAATTCAATTCCCCAGAAATGTGCTATCAAATTTTTTAAGGTCATTTTTGTCGGGGGCCCCTAAAGTTCGGGGGCCCCCCGTCACTGGACACCCTGACACCCTCCCGTTACGCCACTGATTTGTGGGCATGAACATTTTGAAAAGTGTATGCCCAGAATTGAATTTCCAGCTATTTCCCACAATAATTCTGTTTAACCATGTGTACCGCCTGATGATAGGCAGTGAAATCAGTATAAAGATTGTAGTATCGTGCACGTATGACTGAAAAAAAGGACAATTACACAAATCAGTATGTTATATCAAACGGTATTAAGTTGATCATTAGAAATTACTCTGCTCTGAAATAATGAATTTATCACATATGTACGTATGCTCAAAAGTCCAAAGGTTGTCCATATGTCCAAAAGTTGTGCCTGCTTATGATTGTGGAGTGGAACCTGCCTCGTCCCCAGGCGCTAATAAAAAAAATTTCATGCGAGTCACTATATGAAAGGTTTACATGAAGTAGTGCGTCACATTCTAGGCGCGCAAAGGGGAGTGGCCATAACCCCCTGCGCTTGTTCATCGCGATGCACTACTTCATGTAAATCTTTCATATAGTGACTCGCATGAAATTTTTAATTAGCGCCTGGGGACGAGGCAGGAGTGGAACTTCATCAGTACAGTCCTGGTACAATACAGTGCGCCACCACGCGTACTTTAGAGAAGGTGTAAATGCATTCAGAATGTTGAAGCTGCATATCATTGTATTTTGTCCCAAAAAGGGCAAGACAGAGAAACTTCATGAGTAAAAAATGGAAAAATTAACAAAACGAATTAACTAGACTATCGTACGGAGTATGCATGACTCTATACACTTTACAAATGAACTACCATAACACAATTTATGGCACCGATTGCATGGATAGCCTGTTAATTTCAATTTACGTCTGAAAAAAATGAGTATAGCCTACCTTGTTTTACTATACTACTTTACACACCCTTCGCGTGAAAATTATTGCATGGGGGAGGGGGGCTGAAGCCTCTCGGTGAGCGAGAGTTGCAACTCAAATCTCATCAACTTTCATCCTCGTTTGACCGGGTCCTTCGAAAAAGGCTATAAAGTTAATCCATTATTGAAAGTTAATCCGCGCAATGGATAAAGTTTTTTTGTTGAATTCCAAGAAATAGTTCAACGTTTGAGATTGCGAATACAGCTCTAATTACGACGCAGCTCTAACGTAATTTAGAGAAAATATTTTGAGAATAATATTGCACAGTAGGGATCATGATATATATACGTAGAAAAGATTTAAAATTTTGGGAAAATTAAATCCTCTGCTATTAGTGAGAAAAGCTAGTACTTTATTCAAGCTCAGTACCATAATAGGTATATCTCGTGCAGCCGTCTGCCGTTGGGGTAACAATGTTTTGTTTTGAAATCGGCTTAGAGAGTACCTAGCCTAACAGCGACCGTCTTGTCAACCCATGCAGGGTTAATAAGTTGTTAAATAAACACCCATTTCAAATATATATCTTGAGATATCCGATTTAGGAACTATAAAGAGAATGAAAACAATGTCTGTTTCCGATGTTGTGTTTGTCCTATCTGAGTAAGCTTTGAAATTCACACTTTTAAATGTTGTCCTAACTAATCCTTACCTTTAATCCAATGCCCCTTTTCATAGCTTTGCCAAAATCTCTGTGATTTTGTAGCTTGCATTATTGTTTTGTAAATTTCAACGATCAAACGTATAATTGCAATTTGCAAGGTCCATGCCCATAGGTTGTAGTTTTTATATAGGACAATGGCGAGAACAAAGCCACTTAGCTACGGTTTCGACAGCAGTAAACTTCTCCCCGGAAAGTGTATGCCTCAAGCAAGACTCAATAAAACACTCGTAAGCGGTAAAATGGTTTGGATGCTATTTCCAAAAAGCAATTATTTATCGCCACACAGAAGGATCCAACCCCACAAGGAAATTAATAATAGGATTTAAATTTGTCTCCATTATATTAGTCGCTGAGGTTCAGCCAATTTCTAGATAAAGATCCCAACATGCATTTAAAAGTGTATAACTTGTCCACTGGTCAAGTCAGTAAAGCGATGCCTCATTGGCTGCAATGATATTTAGTTCTATCGAGTGAGATGCCCAAAAGTCCGTACACCTCACATTGGCATCACCCTATCAGGGCCCGCGGAGCGTAATAGAGAGTGGGGGGGCTAAATCATCAATAAAACCCCCAATTAATTAATTTAGAAAGTTTCATTTAGATTTCTATTTTAATAATTTTGGCTGTCAAAAAAAGTGGGGGGGCTAAAGCCCCCCCAGCCCCCCGTCTCCGCGGTCCCTGCCTATAGTATATGCACATGAACTTGCGGTTTGAGCTCGAACAGAGAGCTCGACAACAGGACTAATAAAGTCCCAAATTAAGTCGTGCCATCACAGGAGGCCCAGGCTCGATTTGCCCGCGCCCGCCTGTGCCTTCCTTATAACGAGGGAAGGACGGAGACATTGAGACCAAAATAGCCCAGACTTGGCATATGTCACACGAAACTATCCTCGATTTTTCGCTTTTAATGCATTTCCTTCACGATTAATCGATATCCCCTGCAAGAATGATACCGTATAACTCTCAAAACAACGATGCTTTAATCAAAAAGCTTAAATTCGCTCTGAAATCCGTGAGGGAATAACAAAATTCGGCCAAAATATATCCGCGTGCCCGGTTTGCTGTGCAAAAAGCGGAAGTCGTTCAACAACTCAAAAACACTCAACCCTGATTGGACAACGAATTTCAACAAACATTTCAAATTTTTTTAACAGTACTGTTATAATTTCAATCATACAATCAAAACTATTCACAAACGTTATAAAGTGTAAATATTACTGCAAGTATATAAAACTGTAGTACGTTAATATGTATAATAAATTGTATTTCACATTGTCTTTGTTAAAAAAATTTGAAATGTTTGTTGAAATTCGTTGTCCAATC